GAATTAACCAACACGTGCTGGACGGAGTGTCCGATGGATTATCCCGTGGAATGTGGCATGCAGTGCATCCAACAGAACAATGACTGCGGTCGTGAGAACGCTGCCAAGATTTCTGCCGTTGCCATGTCCGCCTTCAGTATGGCCACCTTTGGCGTGTTCGGCCAGTTGGCCAAGTACGGAAAGCACGTTAGCTGGGCTGTCAGATGCGCCAACTACATGATGGTCTTTGTGAGAGCTGTCGTGCGTTTCACCCGCAACCAAATGGTTTTGGAGCCGCAGACATCACAAGCAAAACTTCTACTACTGCTGTACCAGACCAACTATGTCGTTAGTGATCTTCCAGCTACGATTTACGCGTGCTCGGGCAGAAAAGTTCCGGCTGGTCTCCAGCTAACACGTCGGCTTATCCGCACCGCTCAGTTGGTTCTACAGCTGGTGATCACCTACGATGATGAAATTATCGAAAGTTGGGAGAAGTTCAAGGCTTTCATGATGAAGGCCAACTTCACAGAAGCCGCAGAACAAATTACGGAGGGAGAGATCTCAAGTCTGGTAACGGCTATGAAGCAGAACTCCACATGTGGAGACGACCTCAAGACGTTGACCAACCAGGTCTGGATGACGGTGGACGAGTACAGACAGAAGGATCCCAAGATCAGCGAGTCCGAGCTACGTCTAAAGCTGAGCGAATCGGATCTTCTGTTATACGATATCCCGACGGTGACCAACAACTGTATGACCAAAATGATCTCCGAGTCTACGGTGGCCACCGCCTACAAGACACGCAATACGCTCCGCAAGACCTACTCTGTAATGATCAACGATCTCATCAAGTCCGGCAAGAGCGACAACGGTTCATCCATGGCCGCGAAGCACGCTGCGTATGTGTGGATCGACAATGCTTTCACGTTACTTTCATATGGTTGGGAACCCACTGATTTGTCGACACTATTTGGAGAATACCTCCAGACCATTTGCGGTCCTACCCAGTTCATGGGTGAAATCGATGACGGCAACGAACTCGCCACTCTGGGAATGAGTGCGCTTCACAAGGCCTTCAAGAACAGTACGCTGTCTTGGACCAAGAAAGGTGACGGCGCTGTTATTATTAACTTTAAGAGTAAGGATACCAAGGACGTGACGGTTAATATCAAGTCCGGTGGTGACAAAATCGACGAAGTCAAGCTCAAGGCTGGGGGGACCGCCCAGTGGAGATCAAATATTACAGCGCTTGGTGGCAAAACGCTGTATCTAGACCGCTGGCGTCCGGGATTTCTCGGTCTCCCTGGCTCGGGCGGCGGTTCCCTGGTGTTATGGGTACCCATTTCGCGCCAGGGCGGCCATTTGGAGCTCAATGCTCAGCTCAATGTGAGCTAGAGAAGTACTAATTAGAGTGTGTTTGTTTTTGATAGTCTACAGTAAAATCGCCAAAAAAAGGTGCTAGAATTACTATACTAAGTTATAATACACTTCGAAATAGATCAAATTTAACCAGTGTCTATTAAGCTGCTTTGTTCTACGAGTAGAATGTGTTCCAGCAGCACAACTCGTATATCTGACTAGTGTCTGCGTGTTGCAGTAGCTCGTTTAAATTAAGAGTTTCAACTAATGGCTTGTTGTGATCTAATCAATGATCGGGGGAGAGAGAGTAGTTCCTTGTGTTAGTTTACAGTTAATCGGAGTTTTGCGACTGTTTAGGCGCTTCTGTGTGGACCATAGGAACAAATTTATATACCGGAGTATATGAACTGTTCTTCTTAAAAACTGATATTTAGAACGATCAATTTCTAAAAACATTTTATTCTTTTAGAGCTAGGGAACCTTAATGATTTTTCTAGTTCTAGAATGTACCTTCCAAATCTCGCTTTATCTAAAATAAGCAACAACAAAAAAATACGAGGCATGGTTCGTAATTTTGGCTCTTGGATACATGTATGTACATTTCTTAGAGGTATTTGACCCAGACGACAATGCTCTCACACTAACCGTAAACGACACGATATACCTACAGGTTTTCGACATGAGCGCATCCTGACAAAGTGATGGACTCGACCGAACCTCTTACTGCAATCACGTGTGCCCCCACAGGGTTTTTGCTCATGAACGCGGGCAGAACTGGCATTCGCAGACAGGCAATTCAACACAGCAGTGGACACATTCGGTTTCGGTTTCAGCAACGTGGGGGAACCAATGTACACGCTTCATGAATTCGTCTTCAATACCTAGCAAGACCGACGGTCGTCACACTTTGCTGTTGACGCTCAGAGCAGCTGTACGTGGCGGTCGGGTAACGACTCGGGAGTCTTGATCGAAGGATGAATGATTCGTTGCGGAACGATGTCTTGAAGTTGTACAGTTTCTTTTTTCTTTTTGCCCGGATCTGTATGTCATCCCTCTCTAACTCGCAAAGCTGGGCTTGTGCATTGAAAGCGTCGTGTGAACAGCTATTCAGTGACGCGGCCGGCGCTGGCAAACAGTTTCTGTGATCTCATTGGTGTGTACGTCTCGATTATCGATAGGCGAAAAGCGCTACCGTGCTCACCCTAGACCAGAAACTGTGGCCTGAGCACAAAAGATCGACAAAGTGAAACTGTATATAATCTAAACAATTTAAACTGTATTAATAAACTATCTATTATTTATATAAT